GTTTTCGCGCGAACGATACGGCCGCCGGGAATTGAAATTTCGCCAAAGGATAAAAAATTATGAAAATCCGTGGCGCGAGAGGGGGGCGGGGGACGCGCTCGCGTACACACCTGCCGCCCCCGTGCCGAGTTTTCCGTTGCCGTGGGGTCGGGAACAGATTAAGCTTTAGGAAGGAGATTTATGGGCGAGCGTGTAATGAGCAACTTTTTCATGCGATGCGCACGCCAGGGTTAGCCTCCGGGGGTGGGATTAGCATAAGATCCAGCAGCTGCAGACCGCGCGCGACGACTCCGCCGACATCATCGCTTCCCTTATCCCCAGAAACCCTCCCCATACCGCCTGAACGTGCGTTGCACCTCGAATCTCATTCCCAATTAATATACATCTATCACCTGTTTGCAGGCAATTATTCGATCTTTGTATTCACAGGTGGGAAAACGACTTAAGGGTTGAAAGTACCAAGCTAGATCGCGATGTTTAGGTGGAATAAGGGCTTAATCTTCCAAAGTACAATCTGTATACTCTCGAGTAATCATTTTCTCGATAGCTTTAGGGTATAGATGCGCTCTATATTGGGAAGAAAATATGGAGAATAATAATAAGTACCAAACTTAAACCCGGGGGTCAAGTTCGCCATTTTGTTTAACGCGCGTTCCCGCCAAGGATGTTCGAAATCTCCGAAAAATCAGCGTCGAAGCGAAAAGCTAGGGCATCCGCTTCGATTATCCTCGTAGGAGCAGGGGAGGTGGGGGAAGTAACCAGTGGCTGCCGTCTCTGGGAGTACGCGCGATAGATCAGCAGGATAGGAGGAGGATAAAATCCTGGTCGGCAGGATGAAAAAAAGTTCCCGTGGAACTGTGAAGAGGTTAGCGAGGAGCGGGGCAGCGCGCGCGATAGCGCCGGAGGAGAGGGTTACTTAATTGAATACTCGGAGAGCGAGGATTGATGCCCTGTGTCAGTAGCCGTGTACAGAGGCATCGGCGTAATAGACGTATTACGAGGGCCTTTACGGGCAATTATGCTAAGGCCGAAAGCCGCGATACGTAGCGCCTGCCCTCGCCTCCGAGCCGTCACGTATCTACAGATAAATGCACGGGAATTGCGTAAGCCTAGGCGCGCCGCCGATAGGTAGCGCGAACGATGATGCGGATCGAGCCGGCAATCGGCACGGAAGACGCTGTGTTCCCGCCTGATTGCCGCCCCGATCATTGTCCCGCCTCGAAACTTTCCCCGCGGTTTCGCTCCTGATCATAAGGACGAACCGTGGACGAGAGGATCGCGGCGTAACGCGCGATAGGAGTCATTCCGTAAATACGAGATGAACGCCGATCGGTGGCCCCGTAGAGATTTCTCGGAGGCGCCGTAGAGGATAGACGCGCTCGCAAAGATAAGGGGGGATTCGTAACATGTTGAATTCATGGTAAATCATTTAGATTCCATGTCCTTTAGAAAGATGTATTACTTTTTAAGTTTCAACGATGCATCGAATAAACGTGAAATATAAACGAATATTTGATAGAATGATAGGGACTTCCCGGAGCGGAGGATACAGGACACTTTCGGGGTAAAAAATATTAGGGTGAAGCGCAACGTTAGAGCGGTCGGTTGGCAACGCGAAACCTTTCATTTGTCTGTGGTGTGCTCCCGGCCCGCGATCTCGATGGCTCCGGCGACGAGCCAGAAGCGGGGGGTAGCGGAGCGAAGGACCGGGAACGGGGAGAAGCAGGAATAAAGTGGAGTAGACCGGAATAGAGTACAAGGTGTATGCCTAGAAGGTATAGAGAGAAAATGGTAGCCAATGGCGTTGGCTCAGCGTCGTTGCTACAGTATTGAACGTCTCCTACGTGGGCTCCAGATCTCTCTCGGTCGTCTCTCTCTATCGCTCGCTCCTCTTCCACCTCCCCAGTCTCTCGACCTCCGTTTCCTCCTGGTCCTCTCTCGTCCTCGTCCACCGCCTCTTTCCTCCCCCCCGGCAACGGTCCAGGAGATCCATCCGTTTCTCTCTTTCCCCGCGGCCGTTCCTCGCCGCCACCGCCTGGTTTCCGTCTCCCTTGTCCTTCCCTCCGTCGGCTACTCGTGACCCGACGACGTCCTCCCTCCTCCCTCTCCGGCGGTCCTAGGGTGGAGGACCCTCCCTGGTCCTCCCTCCCTGCGCCACCATGCCGTTTCTCCTCGTCTCTCGACCCGACAGGGGATGGCTGAGGCGGGAGGGAGGGAGGGCAGCCTCCGGTAACCTCTCTCCATCGGTGAGGATCCCCGTGAGTCTGCCGGTCGAGATCCGGAGGTGGTGTGAGGCGGCCGCCTCCTCTATCCTCTCATTAATATCCAGAGACACGACCTCGGGAGGTCCGAGCCGGGTCCGCGAGCCGCGGACTCCTGATTGGCTGCTTGCTAGCGGCGACATTTCGACGGACCTCTTCGAGCCGCGGCGGAGCAGAATCCAGGAAACGTCCCGGGTCTCGTCTCTTTCTTCTGTTGCATTTTCTGGCGACCATTTCGGATTAAACGACGATGGAGGCTTACGCGCATAACGAGTATCTTACTCGACAAGAAACGTTGGATACGCGCGAAAGTTTTTCGTGGGTTTTGGATGAACGAGAAACGAAAGAATCGAGCTCGTCCTCCTAACACGGACTATTGTTCGCGTGAATTCGTCCGGAGCGAGGTCGAGTCGCATCATCCGGGGGGGGTTGAAACTTAATTTCTGCGTTTTCGAGCCGCATGGCGCCAGATCCCGTAACGTGATTCGATAATTGCCGTAATCTGGACGAGCGGCCTTTCCTTATTCCGGCCATATGCTGTCCGGGCCGAGTGCACCCCGAAGCTATCGTCCCGAACTACCGACTGTAAAACTTCCTGCTGGACGCTTCTTTCTTTTTCCCTCGCGCCGTTGCTTCGGAGATTGGAAGCTCAGGAAACAGTCGGCACTCGTTGCCGCGGGATTCGTCAGCAGATTTCGTTGCGTTTCTCTTTTTCCCTTTACTTCGGGTTGCCCGTCTTCTTCGCTGCTTCCTGTCTGTTTGCGGACGAACATTCGTGTGTTACAGGAATCCCTCCCTGTAACCGTTGTTAATTAGTACCGTTCGAAAACGCGTTGCAAGATAGGACCTTCCGTAATCAACGAAACGAATTTCGCATTAGCAGCCTAAACGAGAATCCTCTTCGGAGGAAATACTGTTAGCAAAAATTTAAACCGAAACTGGAATGGTTTCAACTATAAAATAATAATGTAAATTAAATGCTTCGAGGATTTCGCAAACACATTAATAACGTGTATTATAATACGATAAAGTAAAAAATGAAACTGATTTTGAAAATTCGATCGATCGTGAATTGGGTTACGCGTCCGTCCGTTAGTCATTGTTTTTACTTCCGTTCGACGCTTGTAAACAATAGCCGCGATAGTATGTTGTTTGCTTTCTGTCAATTCTATTATCTTTTGACTGAGCAGAAACATTTAAAAGTGATAGTACTACGCCATCGTCAATGGTTACGACTGGTAACTTACGAGCTCCGATACAAGTAGAAATAATCTGTCATGGACAGACGCGCTCGTGTTACGGAAATAATAAGTAGAATTGGATTTCAACGATCGAACGCAACCATTGTAAATCAATGGAACGGGGCAGAATTGAAATATAATAAACTTTCTATCAAAACAAACAAAACTTTCTTTAAATAGTTGTTCGATCCGTTGGAAAAGGAAACCCGGTACGAAGAAGCTTTGTATCACGGTCACAAATTATTCGGTTTCCGGTTTGATGCACAACACTGTCGGTTGCATTTGATCGACAACTGTTAACTCCGACGTTAGCGAAGCAACTTTTATAAACGCGATATCGTTATCGTCCGCCGATAATGATAACCCTTGCCAGACCACAATTTGGATCGCGTTACAAATGGTCTTACGCAAGATTGTGAACCGCGTTTGAGCCATCGAGTTCTGACTGCGCGAAATACGAAAAAAAAAAAAAGATGGAGGTTTTTAAGGACTTTTCACCCGTGGCGGGAAAAACGCGCTGATAAATCGGGAACGATACGTGTAATCGGCGCATCGTAACGGTCCAATAAGACACACAGCTTCCAGCCGGCTAATAATCGGATGCTGGGCAAAAGTTCCGCTATAACCGTTTTATTTAACTCCGGTGCACGGTTCGACGGAATGCAATTCCACGTTCCGCGCAGCCGACTAGATGCATTAGCCAAAGCTCAAATGGTAAGGCGGGCGCGGAAACTTTTTGGCAGTGGAATTCTACGGATAATTCGCATTACTGAAACGGATTATTCACCTTTCGGTCGTTGGAGAGCTCTGGAAAAAAATACGGGAAAAGCGTTTCGTTACTTGTTTCCGATACAACGGGATCCCCGAGTTGGTTTTTTTAATTAAGATCGGCGTGATCGTTGCGTTTTGTGGCAGCACTATGACGCACACTCGGTCGCGAAAGTCTTCGTACGCCTCGATGAAAGATAGTCTTGAATAAAATATAATAATTTTATAGAAATACTTTCACAGACAAAGGAAGAAACTAGCCAACTTAAAGTGATGAAATATAAAGAACTATAATACACTAGACAGTAGTAACAATTATTACCTTTTGCCAATGATGAATATAGGAAGGGGAATCCCATACAGGTAGAGGAAGTGACACCTGATGGACCAAGGGAAAATGTTAGAAACTGTAACAACAAACTATTGAGTTAATAAAAATTTGATATTAAATATAAAAACATATTATTAAGATACATGACAGAAGTAATGATAAAATAAATATACGAATACAACATTGAAGTACGGAGCAGGTATGTTCGAGTGAGATTGAAGGAAAATCTTTTATTTCGTAACTGCTAAAAACCGAACTACGGGAAATTAAGCGGAAGCTAGATAATACTGAAAGAATATGTTTAGGGAAGGGAGCTTGGTCTATCTTCTATTAACGTATGTTTTCTTTTAAATATTACACATTAATGAGAATGTTCGTGACATGGATTTTCGGCAAAGATATTTTCCGATTTATTCGCCAATTTTTATTATAAAAGTACAATTGTTAATAGAATGTGATAATGACCTACGCGTTTTATATACGCTCGCTTTCCTTCGCAGTTATTCACCGTCAATGGAACAACAGGAAGAATGCACACATCACATAAATTATACTGTGATTCGCGACAATAAACATTCTCAAGATTCATAGTTCCACATACTTTAATTAAATTCGTTTCCATAGTTTCACGCGTTCCTCGGATTAATTCTTATTTGACCTGCCTCACCTTCCAAGTAGAAGTGCTTAACATTTCAATAATTTGTAATATCACGCCATCTTGGGCCCTTCAACGAAATAACGACGGTCGCGATCTTCTTAAATTCGTACGTGTCAAAAAACAAGAAAATACAAAGCACAGACCAGATCGAGATTTCAATTTGCAAATTCCACGTGAATTTAAATAGATATCGATCCGTAATTTAAAGCTATTTCGAAGATAATTCTAGAGTCAACGTTTCTAGTAACAATTAAATACGCAAACACATGGAATGAAACTACACGTCGCAGTTGAAAATAGCCAGACTTTTAACCAACGAACTGTACGAAGCGTAGTTTAAATTAAATATTTAAAATACTTCGATCTATTGTCCTGTAAACGTGTTCAGTGATATATTTTAAACAGGCCAAGCCATCTCCTCAATTTTCTAACAAGGAACATTTCTCCAGCGATGCGTCGATATTTAAATAGAATTTTACGGTGGATAAGGTTAAAACTACTTAATGTATAATTTTGAGTGTCAATAACTTTTAAGGTTAGGAATTAAGGCCGAGACGTACCTGAACTACCAGCTAGAAAACTTGTAACTGCTTTTCCACCTTTTCTATGGTAGTCGTAAGAATAATAGTCGTAACGTATATGCGCAGATTAACGAATGCAGGCGAGTTTTATAAAAATAGAATGGTTCAGAACTTTGTACAGATTCTCACCGATGTATTTCTATAATAGATGTATAAAAATCGTTAATTACCTTACTACGCTCACATGCAACGTACCTCCCCCGTCGTCTCTAACTACTACTTATTTATCACATTACATTTTTTTTCTTTTTTTTTATGCAACCTTTTCCTTCTTTTTTTTTGTTTATTCTCCTAACTTTACCACTCACGATACAATTTAATTCTGCTCCGGGTCATCGTCGACGATATCCATGCTATCTACTATAGTTTCTTCTTTCGCGTCCTCGGCATGCGTATTGCATTTTAACGTTTCGTCGTTGCCCTTACCCTGCCTCCCGTACGTCGACTCATTCTCATTCTTAACGCCACTCTCGCACTCCATGGACACCGTACCTATCGTATCCTCGCTTTCTTTCTTACCAGACTCGACTCTCTCGGATGCACTTTGATTCTCAGGCCGCTCGTTCGCGGAACACTCTTCAATGATGACGACCTCGTCGTCGTCCTCGTTTTTGCTCGCCGTGTTAGCGTCGCTAAGGGTCTTGGCGAACAAACTTTTCTTCGACCTTTTGGAGAACTGCTCCCCTCTACCGACGGAGATCAGAGTCGCTCTCTTCGGGGTCTTAGTTTGAGACAACTTACTCTGCGAACTAGTTCCAGCGGACTTAAAGGTCAGCTGTTTCTTCATCTCCTCTTGGGTGATCCTCTTCGTGAACTGGGTGATGAGGGGCGAGTTCTTCTTCTCGTCCTTCTCCAATTTATCCGCGGCTTCCGCGACGTCGCTCTTCCTCGGCGGCACCAGATTGTACGACCAGCGATTCGGTAATGGCAGATCCTCGCTAAGGTACTTTTTCCGTATGTTTTCGGGCACGTACCAACAGCTCTTCTGGTACATCGGACCCTCTTCCGGGCAGGCCATCCACTTGCCGATCTCGCGAATCTTACGGAACAGATTGGACTTTGATATCTGATTTTTGTTGTTCTCCTTGCTCCAATAGGACATGAATTCCCTCACGAGGAACTTCGTGCTGTACGTGTTGCCGTGCGTCAGTCGAATCAACTGCGGCAGCGCCTTGTCCGGCACTTTTCTCTTCGAGGCTGACGCCGATGACGTGAACGCGCCGCACTCGTTCGCAGCCTCGTTCTCGTTGGACGTTTGTAGCGTCACGGGCACCTGACGTACCCAGACCTCGTGGGCCGACAGGAAGTCCATCGTTCTTTGAGGTACTGAAACCAGGAATACATTTGCAACGCTTGAAGCTGCTTCTGACATCACTTTTGATATTTGTACAATTGAAACATAGGCTTGGTTAATGTATACAGACTGGTTACATGTTTTTATAAACTTTGATATTTAACTTTACGCAAAGATGTTGCTTGTAGGTTGCATTTCTGAGAGTCGGATACTCACTGTTTCCTAGGAAGGTGTTCTCAGGCCCCCGCCAGACGCAGCCAATAATTTTTGGCTCCAACCTGGACGTCTGCGTCTTCCTCTCCGTCTCAAATTGCTCCCCCAGAGCTTTCAGTTTGAACTTCTGCGTTTCGGGAGACTACGAAGGAAAGAAGAATTTAATAATGGTATAGACTGTCTCTGATAGAAAATATTTACCATGTCTATCTTCTCCTCGTCGTCGGCCCGAAGTTCTTCGTCGGACAGGTACCTGAAACGCAAAAGATGATCGATTAGAGGCAAATGCTGGTGAAAACATTGAGACTCGATGGGAATTCTGACGGATACCGACCCATGAGGCACCATGAATTCGTTGTCCACGTCGTACTCGTTGTCGTCCGGGTTCTCTTCGTTCCTTTCGTCGTCGGATCCGTGCAGAGATTCGCCAGGCTCCTCCTCATCCCATTCCTCGTCCGAGTCCACATCGTAATTGAACCATTTCTGAAAACAGAATATGGATTTTCCAATTAACGAAACCCTGTTACGTTAGTTTTCTTTCGTTAGAATTTCTATATTTTGTTGGAAGTCCCCAAAAGCGACGCTGGTCGCGTTATCGTCCGTTTTTCGTGCCGTTTATTTTAGTTACGATCACGGCCACTGGATTTCACTGGAGTCTGCTATGATTAAGCAGGACGTCGGTATCAATGCGACTTCCTTGACGAGCGATAATCGCGGCTTCGACGAGCGTCCAGCGCGAGTGCGCGTGCCGCTGGTCCCCGAGCGTTCTTTTCACCGATTCCATCCTCTTAGTCACGCGATTCGGCCGGGTATACGCGGCGGTTCCGTTTCCGTTTTCTCTCAAAATGTAGATTTCGCTTCGCGTGAGATCGATCCAAGTCGCGAAAACTTCGGTCAGACAGTGAAATGCGCGACAAATCCCGAACGCTTTAAACGCTCGAGACGGTGAGTGCGTACGTCGAGACGAGGGTAATCGAGTCAATCTACAACGTGGAAGCAATTTTCTATTTACCAGAGACCCGGCTCGATTCGCGTTCTTGGTCCCGATCGGAGGAACGAGAGATCCGTAGGACGGTCCAAAAGGAAGATGGACTAACACAGATCGTCGAGATCGATTCGTCGTGTCGTTAAACGCAACTTGGTAGCTTATATTCGTAGCTAATTTTTACTGATCTATTTAAATTCTACGTAAGTCGACGAACGCCCCGGGATCGAGGGGCGACGATTTTCCCAGCCATGATACATCGGTAGATCGATTTTTCGCCGACGGAGAACCGAGCGAGCATCGTCCCTTTCGCAGTCGCGGTTTGAAAAGTCGATAAATCGTCGGGGTTTTCTCTTTTGTGGCGCGCGGAGGAGCGATTCTTTGTTCGATAAATCAACGTCGATTTCATCCCCGCGCGGGCATCAATTACAAGACGCTCCCGGGACATTAATTTATTATCGAGGAGAGGAACGCGGTACCGCGAATGATCGGTGCGCCACGACGTCGTTCGAGCCGTGAACGCGGAAAACCGGACGCCCCGGAGAAAAGGAAACCGGATACCAGTTGAGCAGCTTTTGGCAGCAACGAAGAGGTAGGCGACATTTTTTACTCCATCATCAAAACTAACATTGTAAAAATATGTTATAAATTGTGGAATCTACGTGGAAGAAAATAAACCTGCGACCAAAGGATCATGTTAATCTTTGTGGTTTCTTTTCGATGACCACAATATTAAAAAACAGAATTCAATCGTGTAGGATGGTCTTCGAGAGTCTAATCTGGTTTAATTACTAATTTCGCGTCACGGAATCGTCCGTAGTGGCGTTGACAGAACACTTAATTAATTTTTTGTCCGGCGGGCTCTTTCCGATTCTGTTTCTACGATCGCGCCGACACCCTCGAGCGTACTTTAAGCGGCGATAAAACTTATCTCGAAAAATGATGTCCGGCTACCTCTGCGCTACGCTTCTTCGAGCTTCCACGAGATCACTCGGTACCGCGCTGTCAAAAAACTCGGAACAGACGCACTCCCACTCGACAGACACTCTACGTTCCGATATCTTCGTGAACAACAGAAGTCTGAAATTTTTTGTTCGGTTCGTACGATCGCAACAATCGCGGGAAGCGCAAGTACCACTGTCGACTCAATTTTGAAGAATTATCCAAGTATAGATAAAGTAAACTCTGTCGTTATTTTAGAAATATCACGAAGCACGATTGTTACTAACGAATAAAAAATTGGTACTCCTGTGAGCCTCAGCCCCTCGACTATGTAATCGATTCTTCTACTTGATATATTAGAGAAAACCGACTGTCTCTCTTAATAAATCAAGTTTCAAATATAAATATAAATAACAAATATGTACGTACAATCGATGTTCATAAATCTAGCGTCGATAAATTTTCGAATAGTTTCAATGATATTGGGAATAGTACAAAATAGGACTACTCCATTAACCTCTTCAGAGACAATTTTGGGTCTATTTATTATTGACGGCAACTAGAATTATAAAAAAAAGAAAAACTAAACGTCCACATATGTGGCCAAGGGCGTGAAGAGGTTAAACTATATAATATTTCTAAGCGAATATTGGTGTTTATTATCTAAGTTTAAGCGACATTACTCGGAAAAAATGAGAATAAAGTGAAATCGAGAGCAAGTAACGGGCCAGTTATCGGAGAGAACCCAGACCACCGTTGGTAGAAAAGTGAATTTCACATTAATCACGGGACGGATGGGAGTCGATCTAGCGATTTCAACGCCGCGTGGAAAAGTGTTGCGACGTCTGGCAAGATGCACCGGGGCCAATGGAAATGCAGTTATCAGTATAACGCGATGCGTGACGTTAAATCGGTGCCTGGCGAAGTGACGTACATTATTTACAGCGTGTTGTCACCCGCCGGGCCATCTGTAATGGCTGTTTTATGCCCCATTAAGATTATGGTCGGTGCTCCTCGTCGTGCACACCGGAGATTAAAATCCCCGCAGTCAGGAATTGATTTATTTCCGAATATTCGACCCTCTAACGGATTATATTGCTCGTACACGGCTTTGCCACCATCGTCCGAGCTTATTAATTCGTTTAACCCTTACGATACGACGTATGAATTATTAAATTTAATCATTCTACCGATGGACGTGGACGAATCGAGCAACGAAAACGATATTACGATTTATTTAATCGATCGCGTAACTTGTGTTAGTCCCTGTTATTTTCTTCGACGGTTACACCAGGTTTTTAGCAACGTCTTCCGTGGAATTCTCGTATTAAAATATCGAACGAATACGCTGGCGCCGTCTCCGTACGATTATTCGTAATACTAATTTCGGATATCTCTGCATCCAAGAAATCGATACAAGTATCGGCTTTCCCGTCGCGATCGGCGCGAAATAACGCAATCGAGAGCGATTAATAGGTCTCTCTGGGGGTGTAGATAATGGCTAATCGTCGCCAGCGAAGTCAACCGAATTTTAGACGAAAGATTTAATCGTCAATTAAACCGATCTTATTAAAACTTTTGTGTTTCATGGTACAAGTATTTTCCCTTTTGAAAACTACCGAGAACTCGTACAGTATCGTATTGCCTTTCATTTCCTCGTAAGAGACACGAAACCGTAATATTTTCCTGTTTGCGACAAATTATAAATGTTAGTGAATCACGTTCGTCAAAAATAATACACCAGGTCTGTAAATATGAAACCGGAATTTCACCATTGGCGCTAGCTGTTAATGTTGTTACCTTCAGACCGTTTCATTGATACCATTCTTTCGTTTTAACATGTGATAAGGATTTGCAACTCACAACAATACAAGTTTCATACAATGGCATAGTTTTTAATAGCGTTGAACATGTCGAATTTTGTGTCTGGAAACTACGATTTGCGGGCAGCATTGATTTTCTGTTATCATTTGAAGAAAACCGCTGCAGAATCGCATCGAATGCTTGTCGAAGCTTACGGTGAGCATCCTCTTGGCAAATCACAGTACTTTGCGTGGTTTAAAACATTCAAATGTGGCGATTTTTACGCGAGAAACGAAGAACATGGAAGACTACCGAAAAAGTTTGAAGACAGCGAGTTGCAATCATTGTTGGATCAGGATGATGCTCAAACGCAACAACAACTCGCGAATCAATTGAACGTGACGCGAGAAGCCGTCTCCATACATTTGAAAACCATGGGAAAAATGTATTGCTTCCGTACAAAAATTCCGGTTTCATATTTACATACCTGATACGCACTGCCAATTATTATTCTATGTAGGTCGACATCGGGAAATCTTGTAATTCGATATTACCGCTAATATGAAACATTAATTTTCCGCCAAATGTACGTTTCAATACTCCAATTCATCGACACAGATCGGTGTATTCAATTCCCACATGATTGGAAGTATTGTATATCGTAGTATACAATTATTGTTTCGTTGGATGATCGAATTCGCGTAATATAAACGCAAAAAAGTATTGACGCGTTCTGTACTTGGGATACAAAATCAAATTATCTGGAAGTCGAGCAATCGGGACGATTGGTTACACAATATCGTGTACTATAACAATATATAGGAAGATTAATTTTATATAAACGGACTGTGTTCGTATTTTCGATATTAAAAAACGTCAAAATGTAGTAAATGTGCTCCACTATCTCGCGTTAAAAGCTCGAATTGCTCCTGCTGATACTTCTCGCGCAAAAAAATTCGCAGAGTCCTCGATTAATAAAAGCAAAAGAGAGCAAATATAAGGCTATCGAGGGTTTCGGGCGATTGGTATTTTCCTACAATTAAATATCTGCGACCTAACGTTCCCAATCGGTTGTTACAAACTCGCGTATGAAAATCGGAGACATCGTACGATAACAATTAAACCCTCCCTCCTTTTTCCGCAAAGATCGAAAGCACCCTCCTCGACGCCGATCCGTCAGATGACTGCTTTGTCGCCAACGTGCACAAATAAGCGTGGCTCAATGACCAAAGAGATTAAGCATTCAGAATGAAAGGTCAGGACGTTGCGCTGCGCTTCTCGTATACAGCGTGCTCTTGACTCTTGAATCGAACGCAAAACATATACAATTGTATCTAAGGTCAGCCTCCCTCGACACGGATGAACGTATTACAAGCGATTCAGATGCCGAGTACCACCGACTTCGAACGCTTTATCGCCTCTGCGTTCTTCTTGTCGCTCTAGGTCAAAGCCATTGCATTATATAGACGCTCCCATTGATACATTTCATCGGAAATATACTTTTCAGGATCGCCTTTCGCGTTTCAAACAATTACTCCGTTTTAACGTTCGATTCCACCTACTCTTCTACGTTCTTTCACTCGAATCTGTTTAACAGATTGAGATTTATGGGTTTACTACAATTTAACTAGTATATACAAAATGGGTGAAGCTAGTGAAACGATTGAAACATTATATAACAAAATTTTTAGATCTAAGCTGATAAAGCGTTGCTCTGTTGTTAAGAGGGTCGCCCAAACGCGGACGTCGTCGATGGCGTCTCGTCGCGAGCAAAAAACGGAAGAAAATAGCGCAGACGTTTCGTGGGAGGGGGGAGGAGGGCGATGGTGCGCGAATTTCTTGCAAAGCTCGCGGTGAATCGGCGGATAAAAAAAAAAGAGGCGAATCGACGTCGATAAAGCACCGAGAGGAGGCCACGTGCGGTCCACGCCGGGTCGTCGACGGGGATCGTTCGTCCTCGAGCAATGGCGAACTCTCCCGCGGGTCTGTCTCGCAGAAATCTCGCGAGAGTGGCGGCCGATTATCGGTAGGGTAGGTGGTATCGTAAATAAGCGAGTTTAACCGACCAATTAGCCAGGAAGCCGATTCGCTGGCGCGTCTGACGGTGTTCTGGGATCAGCCTGGCTCCGATCCCTGGGGAGAAGCACCGTGACGGCGCCGGGTGGCACAGCCTCCGATTATCTCTCGAACCGCGTGCCCTGTCACACGTCTCGTTCGCGTCTTCTGGAACGACGGACGCAGTCCACACGCGTCACTCGGCCGCGAAACTACCGGTCCAAGAGGGTGCAAACCGCGCAACGAGACTCGAGGATCCCCTTCACGATCGAAACGATATTTTAACGGGGTCTGATCACCGTTCACAGAGTAAAAGTGAATCGAACGGTGGTAGAAATTAGAAGCTGACGATAGGCCATCGTCCAGTGGACACTGTCCATCCGTATCCGTATTTGTGATCGCCATTATTGCTCTTAGGAAACTTTGGGCTAGTGTGACCACCGTCAGGGAATGAGGTTATAGAGCAAAGGGAAATTGAATGGAAGTGTACTTGCTGGATCTGGGAAGACTTTTCACAGGGAATTGGCGGGCCCTCCTCGTCGAGCGATCCTCGGTGTTCAGCTGGAATTGCTGCTTGGATGACCACTCAATCAGCGTTAAGATTACTCTAACAGATCATTGTTTATCCGTATAGAAAAGTCGGGCAATGATTGAATAATCGTCAAGAATTTGGATATTAGAGATCCAAGAGTGTATATAGAATCGTTGCAGCTCTTTGGTGTACCAAAAGCCACGGTTTTCCTCAGTTCTTGCTGAGAGAAGGAAGACGTCTGACTGGGATCATCGTTGCAATAGTATTCTGTGCAAAGCGATAGTCAGTTTTTGAAACGAGAACGAACTGTGGCTTCCTGATAGTTCACAGATTATCCAGCCACAGTGTAAAGAGATTCTGGATCTGAGTAGACGATATTAAGATAGAGGTGCAATCGTGGGAGGATTATTTTCATTCCACGTAACGATAGAGATATCGTGAAAATAAAAGAGAGCGATTATCGTCGGTTATTGAACGACTGATTTTGGTAAAAGAGAAATAAAAGACTTAATATTTCAAGAGCAGGGTCGATCGAGAACAAACAGAAGCGATTTGCGATTTATTTAATAGTAACGTCGAGAGCCTTGTAACAGTGGCAATCGGAAGTGATAATGCGCAAAGGAAATCGAGACAGTGATTGATGGTGAACTACATGTGAGAAATTAACTGGAACGAGCAGACGAAGTAATCGAATAGCGTTGCTGATTTTTTTGGAAGAATCGATCACAAGTTCCGAATCGACATGATAGACGAAGCTGCGATGTTTGACGTGAGTAAAAAAGAAGTTTCCTTAAATATACAGAAAAATTCAAGTTCGTTGACACAATATTCTTGTGGTACCTAACAATGTACATTTTATTTAACGCGAAACCTGCTAAAAATCGTTTCTACCAATAACCATTAATAAGTTTCGAGGCTTCCGGGTGGAAGTTGCGTCCAATAGTATCTGGACAGCGACATTTCGCGACTGATACACGGTTATCAGTGTTCCATCCGACTCTGATGAAGCTACGTCGCTAACGAAACGTCAAGGCAAATCTCTTTCCCCAATAACGAACGAAAGTTTGAATATTTAAATAATGACAATTCCAGCGGATTGAAATTCGAGCTTAATCGTTTGTAAGGAAATCGTTCATTTAAAAATAGTTCGACTACTCGTTTAGATATCAAAGAAAATATCATTTTCTTTCAATAATTCATACAAGATTGCTCAAGAAATTGACACAAGATTGACCTGTTAATCTCCCATCAAGAAAAACAAGGAGTTATTGAACGTCTTCCTTTCGCTCTAACTTTACGCCAGAACCGTAAACGTGTACGTTAGGTGACAATCACGATTGTACTCTGGGCCTGATTCATAAATGCGAGTTATTGTCCAGTTAACACTGGATTTACGGAAACCGTCGATTTCACGTGTTTCAAACCCCGTGCTTACGGTTGGAAGATTCGTAAATATTATTTGTTAGCGATCGATGCAATGATACCAATATGTAACTCATTTTAATATCACTGTCGACACGAGTTTATAACGCCATTCGACGATCTGAGAATTTATCATGGTTCCGGCCAAAAGGAGAATTCTAAACCAGAGTACACGTTGGGTACTCAAGTTAGATACGCTGTTTTTAATCCAACCTTGGCGATACCGTCGAACGCAAATAGCGAGAGGTCGTTGCACAATAAAAAATGTTCGTCTATGATTTTTGCTCTATCCTGTAGCCCAAGCCCGGTTATTAGAATCGCCTTGTACGCGTTTCCCTCTGCCTTTCGGCGCCGATAACTGAAAATAGAATTCAATTTTAATCGACAGATATAGAACGTTCGCGTTGCATGACTTATTGTTGGTATCACCGGGCAACCGTGCGATTAATCCAAGACAAGCAACGCGGAGCTCTCGCAACAATAAACAGTCTTGTGCGTCACTTCGTCGTTCGAACGTTTTTTTTTTTCTTCTTTTTTCGTTCCTTGGTCAATTTTCAATCTTTCTTTCTTTTTTTTTCTGTTCATTTATCGTCGCAGATGACGGACGAACTGTTGTTCTCCGCGCTGGGCCTGACCACGGACGCGAGCGTCGAGAGTCAATTATTCTCCCCGAACCCGATCGCCACCGCCTTACACAGCGACTTCGAGGCGTCGCCCTGCAGAACGACGCCGCGCGTCGACGACTCAGAGACCATCGACGACCACGCGATCAACGTCAACCCCATCGAGTGTTACACTGACCTGACTTGCCCCAAGACACCCTGGAACGAGTGGTCCAACAACACCTCCACGTCCTCAGGTACACCATCATAATTTTTTAATATTCGATAACGTAACCAAACAAGTGGTTCTTAAACCATGATTCTCAACTTTTTTACAAATTTATTTTATTGCAAATTAATCTTCGAAACGTTTCCCCCCAATTTTGTACGACTTTTTGCCATACGATGTGAGTTTAAAGTGTCGGTCATCGGTGACCACCGTGGCAACATTCACCCTTCACTGGTCAAACGACCGTTTCTCAACTATTTCTTAAATTTCTTTAATTGCAAATTAATCTTCGAAATATTTCCCCCCCCCCAATTTTGTACGACTTTTTGCCATACGATGTGATTTTAAAGTGTCGGTCACCGGTGACCACCGTGGCAGCATTCACCCCTCACTGGTCAAACGACCGTTTCTCAACTATTTTTTTAATTTCTTTGATTACAAATTAATCTTCCTGTCTGAGCCAAGCAACGGGTATTCTACTGATCCATTATCGATACTACTTTTTTGCTCGATAAAGGAACGATGATTTTAGAGATTGAAACATGTTATTTGTTGCACGCAGGGTGTTTGAGCGAGCTGAGCGAGTTGGACTCGGAATTGGAATGGTGCCTAGATAAAAGTTGGAACTCTGGGCTCCCGGAGAGGACACCCCTGTGCACCGCTGGTTGCGAGGGTTTTCTACACTTGCCCCTGCCGAGCCCTCAACAAACGTTTCAACACGAGGAACCATTATGGGTGCTGGGGATCGATTTGAGAGCACTCGAGGATACTTTGGAAACGAACGGAATAGGTAAGTTTCGAGCACTGCGGGATTATCTATTCAGACTAAAACTAGGAGGATCACTGCATCCGAAAACATTGATTCAGGACGGAAGGCCACTTCGATTACCCCGTTGGTCACTATTTTAATCGCTCCGAAATTTCTCACAATTTTCTATTACCACTATCCACAATTGGGCCAGTATCGCGAATTAATTATATCAGCGATCCCTCGAGAGAGATCCGCTTGAAACTAACTACTTCTGTCAATCGCAGACTACAACAACAATCGACTAGAGGAGAATCACATCTCATCAGCAGCTACCGCGGCACTGGCAACCCACGATTACACTAATCGCAGTTTGGCGAACGCGGCGGAGGACCGATGTTTTCCTTGTACTTATCAGGGCTGCGTGAAGGTACGTTTCAAATCTGAGCTCGCGCTGCGTAGAATTGGCGAACCGATTACGAGGAATCGCAATTACGGTTCACGTTATCGAGTCGAAGATATCGGTTTCGTTTTTTGACCAAATTGTTCCCAGCCAGCTGAAAGGTCAGCTCGAGTCTCTGGAGATTTTATCCCCCTTTCGATCTGTCCAGGTCTACGCGAAGGCGTCCCACTTGAAGGCTCATCTGCGTCGACACACGGGTGAGAAGCCGTTCGCCTGCACGTGGTCCGGATGCGGATGGCGTTTCAGCCGATCGGACGAGCTGGCGAGGCACAGGCGTTCCCATTCGGGGGTAAAACCGTATCCATGCGAAATGTGCTCGAAACGATTCGCGCGCAGCGATCACCTGGCCAAGCATCGAAAGGTGCACAGAAAGAACGCTTACCCGTTGTTCCACGGCGGCAGAGGGTTACGCGGCGGGAAGATGAACATTCTGCCGACGGAGACTTAGTCGATCGTCCGCGGACGAAGCTAACTCGCCAAGACGCCATCGATCGAGGAGGAGACGTTGAAAGAATTTTCTCTGTGGTTTCCACGATGTACTTAAAACGGAGAACTTCCAACGAGGACGGAAAACATTCTTTCAACGACCGATTTTATACCGCCGCGAACGAACAATCGTTGCGCGAAGTTGATAAAAGAGATTACGTCGGACTATCGTTGTCCATCTTTAAGACGGTCCATTGGACCAAATACAGCCTTAAGAAATGATAATAAATATTGTTGAAAATGCCTCGTCTTCTTCATTGATTATTCTATAACGATGACACCTATGCGCTCTGTTTTTGACTTACACAATAAATATACCATTTGCGATACTACTTCACGCTAAGCATATTCCACTGAACTTTCATATTCGTATTCACATGCTAAGAATCACATTTTTCAAGACTCACCGTATCCTTTGAAAATGGTTTCCGAGGATTGATGCTGCGGCTCTGCTTTCTCCACGTGCCCCGATATGGCGGACGTCGGTTTTCGGAGAACTGGAGTAATTTGGTCCGCTGCTTCTCAATGTCGATGCTCTGCTTCACGATGTTCGAGATTCCGTCGGTTTCTTCGTCTATAGACAAGATTTAATTACGATACTGCATTTGGATTCGATATTTTGTAAAGGAAACTATGATAATTACCTAATATAACCACGTCGTCCTTCGCTTCGAACGGCCATGTTTTCGTTGACTTGCGCGGCACGAGCTTTTTACTTTTGATCTCGCTGATATACAAGTCCGACTTTCCCGCGTCCCCTTTATCGTGTTTCTCATCCAGGGACGATTTCTCTTGTTCGTTCAAGGCTCTTCTACAAATCGGAGCCAATTTCATGTCCGCTTTGACTTCGAAGGGCATGAAATATTTTGCTTCCGTGGTAGTTTCCTCTTCTACGGACTTTTCTTGCTTCTTAGCGACGAAGAAACTGGTGAAATTCGAGGCTGCTTTTTGTTTCCTACGCTCGGCTTCCAATTTCTCTTCTTCCTTCTTCCTCTTCTCCTCCTCCCTTTTCTTGCGCTCCTCGTCCTTCGCTTGCTTCTCCTTCTGCTTCTGTCTGTAAACGAATTCATGTTATCACAGAAATCGACGGGTAAAAAGTTTTACGGAAGTCGCGTAGATCGCTATATTCGTACTCCATTTCCATTTGTTTCTTCTGGTCTTTAATTTTCTTTTCCATCAGTTTTTGCTCTTTCTCCGCTTTTTCCTTCTCTTCTTTCTCCTTACGTTTCTCCTCCTTCTCCCTACGTTTCTCTTCCTTTTCTCTCAGACGATTTTGTCGTTCCTCTTCCAATCTCTTTTCCTTCTCCTGGCGGTGAAACAAAAAAATTCGTTATTCACTCGTAGAAAAATGAAAGAAATCGAAATAAAATACGCGTATTATCAATGCAATCTACCATCTTCAGTCGTTCTCTTTCCTCTTTTTTCTTAGCGCTTAGCAATTTCTTTTCTCGTTGTTTCGGCGATATTTTCGACTGCTTCGGCTTATCATTTTTGGGAGTTTTAAGAGCACTTGGACTACTAATCTCTATACTTCCCTCCATACTTTCATTAGACTTTGTTTGTTTCTCTTTATTCTCACAGTCCGAAGACATGGTAACAATATCAGAGTCAGAGTTGCAACTCAGTGAAGAGCGGTTCGCCATTTTAAGTTTGAGCGTTGCTGGACTATCAGTTTTCGGACTCTTTTCGATATTTTCGATCGACGTTGTTCGTTCTTTACCGTCTTCATTGTCCGAAGACATAGCAATATCAGAGTTAGAATGGCGACTCAGAGAAGGGGATTTCACTAATTCAAGTTTGAGAGCTTTAAGAATTTTCGGATTACCAGTTTTTGTACTTTTTTCTATAGTCTCCTTCGACGTTGTTTGTTTTTCTTTGTCTTCATCGTCCGAAGACTCTAACCTTTCAAGTTTACGTGTTTCTCGACTATCGATTCTTGTACTTACTTCGATATTTTCGTTCGACTTTGCATGCTCTTTTTTGTCTTTATTATTCGAAGGTATAACAATATCAGAATTAGAACAGCAATTCAAGGGAAGTTTCATCAATTCGAGTTTCAGAGACTTGAGAATTATTGGTTTATCGGTTTTTGTACTCTTTTCTATATTTCCCTTTGACTTTGTCTGTTCTTCCATGTCTTCATCGTTCGAAGACAGAATTGTAATATCAGTGTCGGAATGGTGACTCGAAGAATTACTGTTAAGCAAAGTCCCTTTTTTTACAGGTTTTCCTTTGGGAGTCGTAATAATCTGTTCATCTTTCTTATCCTGTATTAAATTCTGGCAAGCGCTTTCCAAACTCTCCTCATTTTTATCAGTCTTTTTAAGGAATTTCGTTAAAGGACTCAACTTTACTTTATCCTTTAAGTCCAACTTTTTTTGTCCTGTCAAAGATCTTCTTATCTTGTTCTTACCTTCCACTTCATTTGATGTTGTATTTTCTTTCACATTTTCAGATTCAATATCTTTTATTATCTCCATGTCTTTGCTGCTTTCTTTTGCTTTACTCTTGGCATCGTCATTTAATTTATTATCTGCAATATCTTTACTCGATTTCCTATTCGAAATTTTCACTGCTTTTGAGCTTCTATTAATTACAGATGGTGATGTTAATTTTCTCTTCTTACTTTGCGAACTATTCTGTAACTGTATTGGACTTTGCGTATGAAACGGTAATTGTGCTGAAACAGACAAAATTAAACAAAGATAAATCAAATGATACAAGAATTATAGATGTTTAAACTAAAATACAAAAAATTGATCTCGTATATAATTCTTTTTCAATGACAATTACACAGACAATTTATCATAAATGTTAGAAACATGTACATACCTTGTTTCATCTTCTTCTTTTTGGCAGGAGTAACTGCTTCTATAATACAATCATCTTGTTCATTAATGTCCATCATTTTCATCTCATATGTCCTTTTAAATGATAAAAAATTAAGATGAGTCTCAACCACATTGTCCAAATAATATAATAAAAAAGCTATGAAATGCGTTTTCTGTTTATCTTACCTAAATACTTTCGAATGTGTACCGTATCTTAAAGCATTATTACGATTGACAAAACTAAAGGTGAATCTGTCAATGGCACATTATTATAACCTAGGTAATAATTTATTGGATAAACGCGAATAACATACAAATTAAGGTTGATTATAAATTTACTCTATACAAATTAAAAAATTAAACTATTATGTACAGATACGAATATTTTACAATTCAACAGGCTATTTTCGCAGAAAGAATATACCAAAAAAACATTACTGCCGGGTCACAATCGTAACGAAATCCGCGGGAAAATAGACAGTGGAAGGGGTAACAATTAAGCATGCTGCATCTTTCCATGAACGTCTATTTTACTAGGTTCGTTTGCACGAATGAATATTTGCAACCATCAATACGATCACTCGACGATTGGTTAAAATCGGTACATTTCAAACTAATTTTAACGTTGAAAGTATTAAGCCAAGGTCAAAAAAGAATGCCCTTCAAAAGTCGTTGTGGGTTACCCACAATTTATCATGGGCTACTTGCAATTTATCACCTAGAGTAAATATATCCAATATGTGGAAGAAAGAATTGAAAAAGGGATTTGGGAATTAAAGGACGTTCTTGAGGATTTATCCGAATTTATAATTACATAATTCACATGGAAGCATTGAATCTATCGTACGGTTCAGTCTTCTGATTGGTGAAATGATATTGGTAATTTGCAATTGGTAGAATATGACGTTTTCCACCAATTGAAAACCTAGGGAATTGATAGTTTTCTAACTGTCCACGAATTTTCGCATAGAAATATTTAATATGTGCACATGCAATCCTTAAACATACCTCTGTATGCCATAACGTCACAGCGTTTTAAACAATTAGTCTAATAGAATTGACCTTAGAAACTAACTGTCTTATTTTCATTTACAAAACTACTCTAATCAAACGCAGTCTACATTGAAATTGTATCTATATAATGAAAGGATATAGAATAAAATTTTATTTCGTAGTTTTTATTCGTTTTAATATGACGAATCACCCCAAAACCGGTTCTTCAACACTCTGTATATGAATTAAATCATCAATTTTTATTAATCTTGTTTACGCATATACTTTCTTTCAAGTTTTGGGTTAGATAACTCGCTCTCAATACGACTTGGGTTACTATACTCGCGTTGGTTAATCAAATTAACTTTAGAGTGGTATTAACTGCTGCAAAATGAGGTTAACCAAAATTGTATAACCCGCTGCTAGAGGGTTAATCAGGTTAACCACGCCTCTATGCATCGAATAAACCCAGTTACATGGTTTACAATGCGAGACTGAGAACCACGATTTTAAATCGAGCCAAGTAAACATATTCGTTCGTAGTTCGTGTTTCGACAAGGACAATATTATTTTATTCCAAATAGTATCGCCAATTTCGGGAAAATAAAAAATTCCCGCGAAAATCAGCACTTGCGAGAATCAGTTGGTACTCGGTGCCCTCTATCGGCGAGTACAGATTTCATCGCCACATCACGTTCGTTCGATGAGTATCGGATACCGATCGGGCGGCTTGCGAAGCCGTTTGGTCAATAAGAAGTTCGTCGCGAAACTCGAGAAAGCAGAATGTGGATGTTGACGTGAGTAGTGTATCGTGTGTCAGTGCGGTACTCGGCCCGTGTGTAACAATTTTACGACCACGAAGGAACGCTCGTTAAACAATGAAACTGTATTACAAATAAGAAAAGGAACGTGTTATCTTGGATCACCGAGTAAGCGAATAGAAACGGGAGGGTGTTATTTCTATAGTCAAGAAAAAAGTCGACCGTTGTCCGGATTCTATTGCAATGTACCGGCGCCCCACCCCCGCCGACTGTTTGTCCTTTAAATCTAACCCCTTGCAACGTATTCGAGGGTAGCACGCGTACTATGCACGAGCATTACCGTCGCTGTCATTGCTTGTCAGGTAAGACACGACACTGTTAACCCATTTTCGCAGATATATTTACGATCGGGAGATAATATACACCTCGTGAAATAGTTTAAAATCTTATCGCGGAATAAACAATTTGACATCCAGCGGTTCAATTGTCGTTCCCTCGGAGGAGGAACATTCGTACGTTCTGCTCTGTAATTATAATCGCACAATGACGATGCAAGGCTATTCTAGAATTTAGCACAGTCGAGAATTTCTCAAGAATAAAAGAGAATCGTGCATTGCGCCGTTTATCGTTAGTTCCTGACTCGAATACCGAATCGATTGTCAATATGCTCGATGTACTCTCCATAGTACACATCGTATTTACAGCGCGATGTACTTTATGAATACAAACGACAGATTGATTGCTGCCGGTTAAATCGAGTGATATTAATCGCAGGATGGGGAACATTTGTGAAGATAATATCGATAATTTGTCGCCGCTATGGTTTTGTTACTCTAGACTATTGAGACTTAAGAACAGACCTAGGTGTTATTTCTAATATTATTTTGAATTTAAAATTTTGATTTTAAAATGCAAAATAATGTATTCGCTTTAGCTCCAACCTTGAAACATACGAAGTGGATATCTTACGATGATAAAATCGAGATCAAAATAGACTGTGAATCGTTATTCGTAATACCATCAATGAAATAGTATTTCATATGCAGAGAAAACTGGAAAAAATTTAATTTGAATAATTGACGCGTGATATTTCGTACAATCCTAAGAATAAAATAGAGAACTTTGAAGGCACATATCAAACTATAATATTCGTTTACTATACGCGCGAAGTTATTTTATCTAGTAATTTTTCATATCGAGTTTTGGTTTCTATCTTTTTGCATTTATTGTGCAATCTACTGTTCGAAATAGTATTACAAATAGTACCCAGGAATGCGTTCATTACGAATAAAATAAAAACGGTATTTGCAAAAACTATTTAAAGAGTGCAATGGAAAAATTGAAAACTTCAATTTTTGATGATTATTGCAGGGATTTACACAAATCCGTGTTGTTAATATGCGTTTAAGGTTACTTACGTTTATATTAACCTTAAATATAAAGTTAATGATAATTGATCAAACATAGAAGAATTTTATTGCATAGAATTTAACAATATATTATTTTTGTTTCAGTAATATTCTGCCAATATTAAGCAGTTTAAAATATTCATTACCGCATACATTATTTTTGTTGTATCTATGATTTGATTCAAAAGTTGATATCAACAAACTCAACATGTATGCGTTAAAAATGCAAGCTGCCTGCCAAAGCGAGGGCAGTGGGGAACCTGATGATCCAAGTACTCATCAACAGGAGCCAGTTAGACCTCCACCACAAGATTGTAGCACATTTGACATTGTTAGAGCAACACAGGTAACACAATTTTTAAAAAACAGATTCTTTCTTATGTGCAGCTACTCCCAAAAACAATAACATTTTTTATCATTTAAGAAATTCTTTTCTTTTTGTTATGCAAAAAATTTATTTTCCCCAGTTTGGAGCACTCGATCGTGTGACTGAACTGGTAGAAGATGGTGCTGATGTTAATCAACCAGATTCAGAAACTGTAACATTACTACACTGGGCTGCAATAAATAATCGAAAGGATATTGTAAAATACCTTATTGCAAAAGGAGCTGTTGTTGATGCAATTGGCGGAGAGCTTGCTTCCACGCCATTACATTGGGCCACGAGGTTAATTTTAAGTTGCAGCATCTTTGTTTACTACATTCTGTGAATTTTTCAAACATAAAATATTGTGATTAAATAAGATTCATTCGTACCCAGACAGGGACATTTGGCCACAGTTGTGTTATTGATGAGAGCAGGAGCGGATCCAACTCTCAGAGATTCCGAAGGATTCTCCTGTATCCATTTAGCAGCACAATTTGGTCATACGTCTATTGTTGCTTATCTAGTCGCGAAGGGAGTAAATCCAAATATGCCGGACAGAACCGCGATGACGCCACTCATGTGGAGTGCCTACAAAGTGAATAGGTACATATAAGAAAAGAATAGAACCGTTCGATCATAAATGTCTTTACTTAGTCACATTATATTGGTTACTTTGAAGTTTTTTGTTCTACAGTTTAGATCCGACGCGCTTGTTGCTAACTTTGGGAGCGTCCCATTCGCTCGCGGATAATTTACATGGCAACACAGCTTTGCATTGGGCTATTATAGCTGAAAACAGTACAGCAATATCAACTTTAGTTCACCATGGTGCATCGTTAGATGTACCGAATATGCGAGACGAAACGGCAATGACGTTGTTGGGTCGTCACATTGGAGCTGCCTGGTTGGGACACAAAATCAATCAGGAAATTAAGGAAAAACAGGGAAGAACAAGAACCTGGTGTAGAGATAAGGTACATATTACATTGTTTGCATGCAGTCTTATTTTATACTGTATATATTACTTTTTTCAGAGAATGCGCTGGTACTGTATGATCAGTACACCATTCATAGTATTTTATGTAATCGGATTGATTCTTCAATGCGGATTGGATTATCTAGATAAATTAGGTGCCTTTGTTATTCTTTATATGGCATTATATTTAGCAAATCATTTTGTTTTCGACGAACGATTATGTCATATTTTACCGATGTCAATTTACTTGGCTACGAAGGTAAGTACTTGTATCAATTTCGAAGTACAGTATTGTCTCTCTATAGCCGCGCGTGTCGGGACCGGGCGCACGCAACTTGAGAGACGAGTAGTCTATTCGGCTTTCTTTGATTTCACGCTCGAGCGTTCAAGGGGGATGGGGCTCGTCGACTTTTCTTCGGCTTTCTCTTTGATATCCGATACCCGATGTCGCGTCGCGGTGATTACAAACGAAGTAGTGGGGATAGCTTCGCGTCTATAGAGAATCCGAAAACGCGCGGCTATAGAGAGACAATACTGTATAACGCATCAATTTATGACGGCAATGTTGTTAGGTAGATAAAGCATTTTCAATCTTATTGCTAGAAAAATCAATCAATTATATCAAATATCCCTTTGTTTATTTTAGATAAGAAAAGCATCTTATCGCGAAACGTATATTTTAGATAATGAGTGCGAAAATCTCACATTATCAATAAATACAAATATTTCTGATACCGTACTCTCGATCGATGGTCACTCCCTTTATTTGAAGCTAATTTTGTATTATTTATTCTTACAATTATTATATATAATAATTATTTTCCCTTATATAATTTGCTCTACAGATGTGGATATACTTTACATGGATATTCTGGTTAGGCATACACGCCGCATGGTATTTGTGGTTATTACTAGTGGGTGGTTCTGTACCATTGTGGATATGTTTTTTACAATCCTGGAGAGGCGATCCGGGTGTAATTACAGCTACGCACGAGGACAAATTGAATGTAAATATTTCGATACTGCAAACGATCGTATTTTTTTACGCGGGGTACATTTATTAATTTATTTTTCAGACGATCATAGAGTTAGCCGAATCCGGCGGTTTCGAACCGCAATCATTTTGTAGTAGTTGTTTAGTCAGAAGACCCTTGAGGTCTAAACACTGTTCTACGTGCGACCAATGCGTAGCCCGATTCGATCATCATTGTCCTTGGGTCAATAATTGCATCGGTAAGTCTTACTTGGTGTAGGCAATCTAATCTTACATATCACTCCAAACAGATTAACCGCATCGTGTAATATTTTTAACAATCTTTCTTTCTCGAAAACTATTTTCAGGTGCGCATAACCACAAATACTTTCTGGGATTTTTAGCGTCGTTATTAGGCCTCTGTATTGTTGTTCTATCGGCCAGTGTACAATACTGGCAGTTCGAATGCTGGACAAATCTAACAAATGGCCACACTGCTGACAATTACCTGGTTGCTGCAGCCACTTGCGATGCCTGGGTAATGTGGATTACAGCAAACACGTCTCTGCATTTCTTCTGGGTCGGCACGCTGCTAGCATGTCAATGCTATCAGGTACGTCACGTTTCTTCGATCGATCGATTTTGTACGATGCACTGTACGCAATTAAGAAATACGTTATTACTTGCGAACGAAGCTGGGCAAAATTTAATTCGAATAAAAGATGAGCACGAACTACGTATAGCAATACAAAGTCGTTTATCTTTTACTCGATGTTCGAAATTTTTGTCTAGAAGTAAATTTTGCTGAGTATGTGACGCGCCATGCCCCCCACCCCGATTTTAATGAAACTTTATAGGTTTGCAGGGCGACAAAAATAAAAAATACATATTGTTTTAATGGCGGCAACTCAAATTTAGAGAGTGAAACTACCCTTCAATGTTTCACAGCCTAATAATATCTTGAATAGCATTAGAGGTGCAAGAAAACTTTTTTAAACAAATTCTTTATGTTAAATGATATTTGGTCATACAAACAATCGTTTCATTGGCTTTCGAATAAAAATTTTCATTTTTATATCGATATTCGAACGATTATTTCTGTGATCAAAAATCAACGCTTTATTTGAAGAATTTATTAAAATATATTCATTCTTCTCATTTCTTTGTTTTCTTAAGTAATAAAATAGTTCCCTACGCATTTATTTTGCTTATCTACGTTTACTGGTCATTTTTTCGGTTTCTTTATTTCATTACAATTCTTATCGCATTTTTTGTTACACAATGGACAGAAGATTTGATCGACTTACCTAATAATAACCAAGACAAGTGGAAGAGATTAAATGACGCGTGTGTCCGATTCCCTTTGTCCTTTACATTTAGTTTCTTGATAGTGTTTCAACGTATCGTTTCCAAATACTAGACATCTTTCGTTGGAAAACTTTTCCTGACGTCATAAAGGCGGGAAGACTTCCTATTGGTAAGACGCCATTGATGACTCGCATTCTACCAATAGCAAGTCGGAATGCATTTCCCGCCATTCCTATTCAGGGTGTTTGGCCAATCCTGGGAAAAATTTTAATGTGGGATTCTAGAGGCCAAAATAAGACGAAAATCAAGAATACCAATTTGTTGATGGAGGCTTCGTTTAAAAGTTATTAACGTTTAAAGTTCCGCCCTTACTGAATTTTTTCCTAAAAAATGCGCAAGATTTCGGGAGTATGTCTATTCACCAAAAATAATTATAATTGACCCCCGCAACCGAAAAAAATTTTTCCAGAACGATTTGAAATTTTTGAATTTAATTGTTAATAATTTTTTAACGAAGCCTCCATCAACAAATTTGTATTCTTGATTTTCGTCTTATTTTGGTCTCTAGAATCCCGCATTAAAATTTTTCCCAGGGGTGGCCGAACACCCTGTATGTGCAACGTAAAAACAAATTTTCATTGTTAAAACATCCAATGTTGGACAAATTTTATTTAGAAATAACGAAAAAATGATTTATTCGTTATTTTTGGTTACTCTATACAAACCTTGTTGTTTTATTAAAATCGGAAGGTGGGGATACTCTGAAAATATTTCTCGTCAGTTACACGCACTGTTATGGAAGTTTAAACTTTATTTTTGTATTATTTTGTATTTTATCAGATTATGGTTCTCGGAATGACTACAAACGAGCGTATGAACGTCAGACGCTACACACACTTCAAGCAAGGGAATCCCTTCCATCGTGGGGCCCTTCAGAACGCAGCTGACTTTTGCAATTTAAGTTTCTGCGGAGTGAAAGCGAAACCCAGCTCTGACTGGTTACACAGTTTCGATCATAAGCAAAGCATCGAAAAGTTGCCTCTTCTCACCACAAAGGACAACTTCCAATATATATAGGATTTTTTTTAACGGTAATCAGCCGTCAGAAGCTAACAGTGTGTCATATCATTTATGCCTGAAGCACTTCTGGGCTACCAAAGAGTTACTACGAAAATTGGAAGTGACTTTTCCGGAAGGGTAGTGATTTTGCATATACAGATTTAAATTGCATATTGTAAGTAATTTCCTACAGTCAGTGATTGCGAATTTTAAACTTCATCTATTGTAAAAGACTGTTCTACGACGTAAGTATGCATATCCTCCCACCATTTTGTGTATTATATTTTTCAAACATCGAACAGTAGAACAAGTTGCACAAGTACTTCAATTCCATTCTTAAGAAACATTATAAAATATCCCTCTTCTTTTTATTTGTACATTCGATGCCACGGTTTACTCGATACAAACATTAATACAATTGATTATCTATAATTCCCATTACACTACATTGTAAATACAGTGAATAACTTTAATATTCGGACACTAAACAATTTTTACTTTGTCGCATTGTAATTTTGTTCACGATAAAGAAAAAAAACAATTAATTTTAAATTACATTACTGTATAGGGTCTAGTTGCTAAAAGCATAATTTTTATTTATGTAATTGTTAACGTTTTCTAAGTATTCTATTTGAAACAAAACAATGTCCAGTTTTAACGTGACAATATTCGGACAGTCATATTAATATTATACAATCAGTTGCGTTTAGATATTCACTAAGTTCACTGGTAATAATGGGATGTAAGAGAAACACTTCATACAACATACTTGTCATTTTTCACAATGCAAAAGGTGAATGGTATAGGAAAATTGCAGCAATGCTTAAAATAAGTAAAAGTACAGTGGGAGATGTTAAAGACAAATTATAAGAAAAATAAAGAAAGATCCTACATAAACTGCACCAAAATTAGCTGGTGAATTATTAGAAGAGACTTTTTAAAAGAAGAGTTTTATTAACTAGACCTTATGCGGTAATATAATTTTGGATTCAATATTTTTTTCCTTCGTCGTGAATAAAATTACAATGCGATAATGTAAAAATTTTGCAGTGTCGAAATATTAAAGTTACTGTATCTAAATTTCTATGTAATTGTAACGTTATCATTAAATATGAATACGTTAATGTTTGATTCCAATTCTTTTTCGTTTGTTTTTAGTTAATTTAACACTTTACGTCCTAATAAGCAACAGGTTCGATTTATAAATAATTTATACGCGAAAAGTACAATTCTAATCGTATCGAGACAGAATGATACCTTTATAAGAAAGAGCCATGACAGTCAGTTCTGTGAGATCATTGTATAATGTATTTTTATCGATATTATTTATTACAATTGTTTGTACTTTGTAGCTTTTAAGCGTGTAGTAGAAATATATAACAGAAACATATGAACAGCAATTGAGACACAGTTTTTGGTAAAACGCGTTATAAAATTTCCGTGTTAAACGTAAAAGGCTCAGTGCAAAGAAAACGTCGACAAAATTGCTGTCGAAAAGTACGACCATATTTATGTTTAAGCACACGTGATCGTTAATTAAATGATAAAAATCAAACGCTGCGCAATACGGTTATGATAAAAAGTTATATTGCATAATACTGTTGGCTATGTAATACGTTTTTTCGTACTTACGAGTAAGTTTACCTGACTTAAGTGCCATGCTTGTACTCTTCGAAGACATCCACGTACACGTACACGTACACGTACAACTTAATGCTCTAACCTCATAAGAGATTTGATTAACGTTAATTATATCTAATCTATTATTGTATTACGTAAACGAAAACGTTTTAATGATAGCAATACAAAATTACATATTTACAGCATAGTATGTATAAATTGTTTACAATGTCTGTTTCAATGGATGTCGCACTTTAATAATATTGTAAAATTTTCAAGGAACTATCTTATCAATTGCATGTAGCGATAAAGGAAAAAAAAAATAATATAGTTAGAGGGAGAAAGAGAAGAAAATTTTTAGAATTTTTTGTACGATAATTACACAAGTGACGACAGGTGTACAATAGCAAGTAATTAAAGCGAGTTAAATATTGTTTTACATTCCAAAAGTGTACTTCGATCTATGTATCTTCTGTCGTCGTTAATATTAGCACGTTATTAAGCATGCATGCTCCTTTCTGATTTAAGTTCTTCAGGTCAATTTCACTTTCAAGCGTTATTAAATATATCATACATATTAAACAACCGTGAAACGTTGCGTTGTACGCACAATTATCGCGGGAAAAATGAAATTTAACGATTAATCGCAGTCCTTAACAATCTAGTTTTAATCGAAATTGAAAAGTTTAATCGGAACTAAGAGTCCACGTTAAGAAACACACTTCGATTTGGCTGTTAATTATTAGTACTGAAGACTTGCATGAAAGGAGCACGTATATTTTTAACATCGTATTTCAAATAGGTGCCTAAATGTGTGGTTAGCATCTTATACGAATTTATAAGAAACAATTATGCGAATCGATCAAAATTACTAGTGTATCTTAAGTTTTAAGGTCTTATTACGTGTAAGTTCCACGATACAAAACTCAATTAAGTCTTCAATAGTAATTACTTGTTCACCTAATCTGGGTTGAGAATCATCTTCGTAACAGCAATCGAGGATGACAATTATATTTTACAATGTTCTTAATTGTATTATATACTTTCTCAGGCCACATTTAACTTGTGCGACGGATTATATTTTCTGTACAGTTCATTTAGTTTCATTGTTTAACGGTGTAAATAATTTACTTTCGTTTCAATGGTTATCGGTAGCTTTACTTTTCGATACGTTTAACGTACGCGTGTACAGAAGAAAATTAACATTCGACCGCATATTTGTCCAACCAGCATTAACGAGAAAGTTTTCAATTTCGACTGCTTATACAGAAAGCGGCGTTTGTACAGAACGTTAAAACGTACACATAGGTTTAATAATAGGTTCGGTCGCGCGAACCAACGATATTACAAAACAAATACTCCACGACAGAATTACCTACAAAAGACACGTGTAAAAAATATTATAAATACAAATGTAAGTTAAGCATCTTTATACTAGACTACCTTGACTACAAGTCGAACGAATGCGTTTGTTAAATATTTTACTTCTTTCGAATGAGTGATACACGGTTTGGTATTTATATATTTCCGTTCTAGTCCGATCAATAATTAAGGTGATTTGATATTTAGATTTTGTTAATTCGTACAAGGGGATGTGCACCCTACTATTTATAATAAGTAGATTTCTTATTTTGTAAACAAGACCAGAGAAAAATTACGTAACAATTGACACTAATCAACGAATAAAAGAAAAAAAACATTCAAGCAACATTTACAACATTTACAACATTTTGAGAAACATATACGCAACACAAATGGATAAATACAAAACACAACAAAACTTTTGTATAATTGATATTTTTAAACATTTCGTTTGTAAGCCGCAAATGATTTTCTTTAACGAGTATAAGAAAATTAAGAATTGACTACCGATTAAGATCGCAAAGATTTAAAAAAAAAAAAAAAAAAAACAGGTTTTAGTGACAGGCGAGCACTTGAATATTTAGAACATAGTTGAAGTTTTCTGACGAGAAAGTAAACGTAGTTATAAAACCTTTTTGCGACTTGTTACAAATTTAAGAATTATAAAGCTCCTCAGAAGCGTAGATGAATTTATAGCTATATTGTATCGAATCATATTAGGCTAATTATACCATTCTACTTCCAATTGAATCAATGTAAATAGCAATCTCTTTTACTTCGAATGGCGTTTCCAAGGATCAACGAAAGTGCTGAAGAACGAAACGTCAGGAACATATGAAATTTTGGTAAATAATTGGAAAATTAAATCAAAATTACTATGTGTTATATAATAAACAGAAAAATATAAATTGTTTATTTGTCATTCATTTCTGTTCCATCAAACTTCGATCATAGTTTCTACATTTATTTGTTGGGTACTATCAGGACAAAACTCCCGAATGATTTAAGTAAACTTTACCTTTGTTAAATTACTAGATATCAGATACCACTGTTAGGTGAAAGAAATGCAGGTCTGACATCGACAAACATATGAATGCAGATACACCTGTTTACTGTCAGCTTGACAGTTTAGTTTTGAGTTCATTAGTGTTACTTTAAATGGATTTATTGCAAAATTAAATCAAAATTACTGTGTGTTATACAAGGTGTTTGGCAAACCCTGGGAAAAATTTTAATGGGGGATTCTAGAGGCCAAAATAAGACGAAAGTCAAGAATACCAATTTGTTGATGGAGGCTTTGTTAAAATGTAATTAACGTTTAAAGTTCCGCTCACACTGAATTTTTTTCTCGAAAATGCGCAGGATTTCGGGGGTATGTCTATTCACCAAAAATGATTATAATTGACCCCCGCAACCGAAAATAATTTTTCCAGATCGATTTAAAATTTGTTGATTATGTCGAAAAATTTCATACCTTCCCGAATTTTTTTCTAAAAAATGGGTAGGATTTCGTGGGTAGGTCTAATGACCAAAATGGATTGCAATTGAACCCCGCAACCGAAAATAATTTTTTTTAGAACGATTCGAAATTTTTTAATTTCGTCGAAGAAAAGAAAGTATTTCTGGCCTCGTATTAGATTTTTGGTAAAGAATTTTTTTCTCGAAAGTTCGTAGGATTTCGGGGTATGTCTATTTACCAAACATGCTTGTAATTGACCCCTGTAACTGAATATAATTTTTTTAGTATGATTTGTAATTTTTTAATTTCGTTTAAAAATTTCAGTATCTACTCGAATTTTTTTCTCGAAAGTGGATAGGATTTCGGAGGTATGTGTATTCACCAAAGATGATTGTAATTGAACCCCGCAACCGAAAATAATTTTTCCAGAATGATTTGAAATTTTTCAATATAACTGTTAATAACTTTTTAACGAAGCCTCAGTCAAGAAATTGATATTCTTGATTCTCGTCTTATTTTGGCCTCTAGAATCCCCCATTAAAATTTTTCTCAGGGGTAGTCGAACACCCTGTATAATAAACAGAAAGATATAAATTGTTTATTTGTCATTCATATCTGTTCCATCAAACTTCGATCATAGTTTCTACATTTATTTGTTGGGTACTATCAAGACAAAACTCCTGAATGATTTAAGTAAACTTTTTGTTAAATTACTAGATATCAGGTACCACTGTTAGGTGAAAGAAATGCAGGTCTGACATCGACAAACATATGAATGCAGATAACTATACCTGTTTACTGTCAGCTTGACAGTTTAGTTTTGAGTTAATTCGTGTTACTTTAATTTCAATCTTGTTGAATTTGTTTTCAAGAAATGTGTTTGTCATGGTTTCCGCAGAGGATTGCACAGACGCAACAGAAGCTTCTAATATAACGTCCTTGCAGTCAGACAGTTCATTAATCATTGCTAATAATAAAGACCCATATTGCGAACCTATAAACAAGGAGGGTGATGTTTTCCAAGAATATATTTGTATGTAATCTAAATGTTTAATTAATTATCGAAACAGTTACGATAGAAGAATTAAAAATATAAACGTCAGAATTTATGAACAAATGCAAATTAAGTACTATGCGTGTTAAGTTAAAGACTGTAAATGTCGCGAGATACACTCAGCCGCAAAACGTGGAGTGCTTCTGGAACAGCATGGAATGGCAGATACGATACAGCAGTCACCTAAGAAAGAGCCATCGAAAGACCAGCATTCAATGCAAATTCAATCCACCATGCCATGTTTATGCCGCGCTCACGATATGTAATATAAACATTTCTATTTCACGTGGAAACTATTAAGTATATTTTTATTTCCTTCCAGCGCCTATACCCTACCTCTGAAATACAAAAAAGGTAACTACCCCAGCTATTTAAACACATTTACAAAGTAAACTCCTTCAACTTTTGTTTCATAGTTAATAACTTATTTATATTCTACAAAATATTATACCCTTTACACTTTAAGTTGGACACGAGACAATTAAACAATTTTTTTCAAATTTTAATAAAATTTCGCGTGTAATTCGGTCGAACCATGATTTTTCAGACCCGTCGCACTCGAAACTGTTTTGGTGTCCCATAAAATGGTTCAAAAAAGGTTGTTCAAATAGGAAAGATAAAACGTACAAAGTAAAACTAAAACAAACAAAGTGTCCCCATTACGCAGAGGTATAAAATATATAGATAAAATCCATTTAAAAAGCGTGAACATATTTTTTATATACATAGCGTTTAACGTGTTAGATATAATCTTTTTCTCAACACAAAGGACATCGAACATTTGCGAACGTTTATAATAATTAGATTTCTATTTCAGCCTTTTATGTGCTGTGAAATATCAGAAGGAATACCAAATAAGAAAAGAAACGCTACTGTCGGAACATCCAAACCAATAAAGCTCGAAGACAAACAGAAATATAAGGAAACGGAGGCGATGGAAAAGATCGAGATCTATTATTTCGACCATGGAAATTCTGCGTAGGTACAACCACATGTTCGAGTACAATTTTCTCTGCTTGTACTTTTTCATATACAACTAGTAGGTTTTAACGTTTAACAATGGGGCAGAAACTTCAAAATTCGAAGTTCCAATGTCAGCTATTGTAGCAAATATTGCTATTAAAAATATTGTCATAAAAAGAGGAACAGAGAATTAGTTTACACTGAGCGTTTGATACGTGTACCGAGTTTTCGATTCACGAAATAATACGCGTATTAAACGTCTTTACAGTGCCGTAAATACTCGTGTATCTTTAAAATAGCCGAATTAAAGTCAGGTTAATGCAACCGTCGCGCATGGGAGGGAAAAATTGGGTCGGAGCGGAGACACGTAATTTTTTTTAGAACTTTTCTTTCATAAGCAAATATTATTAACACGTTGACCGCCAGGTCAGTTTTTCATGTCTAAAGATATAATTATTATTTAATCCTTATGAGTTTTCGCAAGATCAAACAACACGCTAAGTAATCTCGTAACATACCTTTCCATATCGGTTTTTCCAAGTTTTTCAGAAAACGTTAAGCTTATAACACGTTATTTATTTGTATTTACTTTGTACTTTTTTTTATAAACTTGATACGCTTGGGAATTAAACGTTTCGTGGACACTATTTCGATCCGCCTATCAAGAACGAGCGTTGGTGTAAGTATAAACTAACAAGGTGACCCGACAGTTGTGCCATCGGGAATTTTGATAATTGAAGGAATGAATCTAGAAGCGTGATCAATTTAAAAAATAATATCAGAACCATCGGTTTCAAGTGTTGCACACATCTGCGTAGATCAGGTACATCTATGAATATTTCCAAACAATAACGACTGTTCTCGAGTTGTATGGGAATAAAGTTGTTTGGTAGTTAATTCTAGTTAACACTGTAGAGAAGCATACAATTCATCCTTTCAAATATCACAAAAATCTCCAATGGCGTCGAGCACCCTCGTAAGTAAAAGTCATCCGTATCTATTCAAGCCATGGAAACGAATCATTTTCTAACCGCGTGTTTATTTCATTTTTTTTTTTTTTTTTTTTTATTGCAGTTATTATCGAACAACGGATTCACCACCGATATTGGCCACCGAAAAATGCGCCGAGAAGACCGACCAGGCGGCGACTCGTTTCTGGGCGGAAATATTCGGGACGATCCACATCGGGACCGCTTTCGTGACGGCGTTCATCTTGCAACTCATTCGCTTCCTACTCTACAGCATTATCAGACCGCTAACGGTGGGCGTTTTGCAAATGCTCGCCGACTATTTTATAAAACCTTGTCTCTCGATCGTGTTCAACGCTCTCATACAACCGTTCTTGATATTACTATACAACATCGCGACGTCGCTCAAGGACCTCTGCGAACCCATCGCCGAGGCGATCGGTTTGTTCTTGCGGGAGATCGCGAATTTGTGCGCGGCTATCAGAATCGTAGAAGTGAAACAGGGCGTTTCACCTTCGGTTGCTTGCACCTAACGATCGATAGATCCGATCGTCGGCCCGCGAACGACAAGCGGAGAGCTCTTTTCGTTCAGGTAGTAAAGGTAGATGTTTCGCAACTTTTCATCCTGATCTGTTAAAAAAATAGCACAGTGTAAATACCGAGAAGCACGGACAGTCTATATAAATTCTTTTCAATTCTGGATCTCGTGCTTCTGCCATTACATTGCGAGGCAACAGGAGGTAGTGGAAGGCGAGCAGACGATTTGGCTCTAATCGCTTCTCGCTGTCTTCGATCTTGGTTCTGAGAAACGACTGGACGAACCGAAGTAAAGCAGATCTTTACAGGAATTCCGAACCGCGGATAACGTGAAACGTAACTTGTAAAAATTTATACTGTGTTTTTCTCGCAGAGCAGGATCAAAAGACTTCGTGTCTCTTGCCCTTTGGTAGACGGCGATAATCAACGTTGATCGTCGATTTCAACGAACGGTGTCCAGGATCACAAAGACGTCAAACCGAGCGAAAATAATAAAAAGAGCCCCAAGCTGCCCCGAGTTTTGAACGAATATAACACATGCCTTAACACCAGGTATATATTTGGTATTACTTTAACTTTACATTATTATCGTTTTCATTCACTTTGTTTCATTATTATTATTTTTTTTCCCTACAGAACAAATTACTTCTTACAGCAACTAACTTTGTCAATAATAATTCAATAATCATCCCTTCGTCTCTTTCGTATATCTTACTGTTTAATAAATTATGTACAATCTCACAAACAACAAACGGAGGAACCTAATTACATCATGTAGTTGTTCACACTTCGCTATGTACAGGTACTACTGGTTTTTACAGAACTGCGCTTTCGCTCCACCTGCGTGTAGTCGTTATCTTTAATCTCTGTTCTTCACGTACTCTATTTAAAAGAAAAAAAAAAGAAGAAAAAACAGAGGGAGAGAGAGAGAGAGAGAGAGAGAGAAAAGAAATGGAGAAAAAGAAACGCCTATCGTCACCTAGTCTCAGGAACTGCAACCTCTTGCTTGCTGTGCATTGCGATCTAGGTGGCTGTGGTCGGAGTCTCCTGGATGGCTAAGGTTTGTGAAGGCGCTGATGATGATGTCGAGTCGCCTGCAATTAGAAATTCAATGCACTTTGCTCGCAAAAATAAATAGTGAGCATACAGAGCGATCTACTAGAAATAGACCGGCTTGGTATCTTGCGCCGGTTCGAAGATAGGAAAAGAATATATTAAAAGTTTCAACGCGTTAAGGCGACCTACTTAAAGCGGATCATCCTGTATACTCAGTCACTCGATCAGAAACGCTATTTTAAAAGCCACGTCTATCATATGAAGAGATAAGTCATACTCTAAATATCTAACCGTAGTATCGTTCGCGATAAACATTTGTTGGATTCCAACACTTTATTTAAGAGAAGAAACTCGTACAACTATTACGTCGACTGAAGACTAGACTCTTTCTGTCCGTTTCTCGGTATTGCAGGCGTTTATAAGTTATTGGTAGAGATGGGTAGGGGTAGGGACGATGATCAAGGGATAGTGTGACTCAGGAAGGGTACGAGGTTCAGGATGAGTAAGGATTAGAAATCTGGACTAGGATGTTTTGGATGAGTAATGTTTGCGAGGTGACGGAGTGGTGTTTGTCTGGTCGTGTTGGTCATCCAACACATTAATAATACCAAATTATTTCATTCAGTGCCGTTTATCTGCATACCGAAGAACCTTGTTTCCAGAAACGCTTCCGATAACAAAAGTATTAAGAACAATGTTTAATATTTTTAGTTACTCTGCCACCGTGGCAAAGGACCTCCGCACAGATCTTATGGAAAATGGCCCCCGGTTAAATTAGCTGAACTTTTGATACGATGTAGTTCATTATGTCTTGATGAAAAGTTCCAATGGGCCCAAGTTCGTAAATTAAACAGTTTCCGAGATATAGGGGATCAAAAGTCAATAATAGTGCGCCTTATGCATATTTGAGTGTAAGAAGCACTGTTGTACACTGTCCATTTATTTGACCCCTTGAAACTCAATAGTAGTACTGTGGGCCCTTGACCCCCTGACCCTCTGACTCCCCTGCAGGAGTAAAAATAAAAAAACGCCAAAAAAGTAAAAAATGGTTCTCTATTTCAATGTACAAACATGAAGTACCGTCGACATTAGCATTACCCAGTGTGCACCACGAAGAGGTTGCTCGATCGGATTTTGCACACCATGTGGCCCTGAAAATGGTCGTTTTTATAGTTCTCTCTATTCAGCCATAAGAATTTCAACATTTATATTGTCTTGATGCCCTCTATTAGCGGCATCTCTGGTCGTATTTAGAAGATTGCCATCCGAATATATATTTGGCATGCCTTTGATGACTGTTGGATTTCCTAACCGTCTCACGTTGTTACAAAAATCATCTCCAGCGACGATTGTATATGTCTGGAGTTTTGGCCATGGGTTCTACGAACTCAATGGTGTTCATTATACAAAGATAAGAGTTCGTCGCTAGAGAACAGAACTGAATTCTTAGATATACCTTCTACATATCATTTAATAAAAAGTACATTTGATTAGTAATTATTGTCGTTTCATTCGAATCACACGTCCCATAGCCCTACCTTTTCCAATAATGACAAGCAAATCCTAAAAACCTTAAAACACTTGCAATATGTGCGCGTGTACTCAATGTTTTGGCATCAGATTGACAGGTGCAGTAGTAACCATTTATTACTTCCTCTTCTATTTCCAGTTCATTTTCGGGAATGTGAGAAATAAGAACTTGATGTTTGGTACAATTCCGAAATTGTGAATAAACTTTTAGTCTTCTAAGGCTGGTATCTACCAACGAAGTATCAATCTGCAATTCATCGTCATCATCTTTTTGCAGCAGAGGGTCAGGGGGTCAAGGTGTAATATTTAAGGGCCCACAGTACTACTATTGAGTTTTAACGGGTCAAATAAATGGACAGTGTACAACAGTGCTTCTTACATTCAAATATGCATAAGGCGCACTATTATTGACTTTTGATCCCCTATATCTCGGAAACTGTTTAATTTACGAGCTTGGGCCCATTGGAACTTTTCATCAAGACATAATGAACTACATCGTATCAAAAGTTCAGCTAATTTAACCGGGGGCCATTTTCCATAAGATCTGTGCGGGGTCCTTTTATCGAAATCGGTACGCTTGGGCTATGTTGCCTTGTTAGAAACTGTGTAATCCTATGTACAATGGTATAACGTTGTCGAATATTGCACAATGATATCGTTCTCCAGCAGGCAAAACTTACCCAAGAGGGCAGCCTCTAAGTCCCCTAAGATCTCCGTTTCCTTGGGATCGATAAGGTTGAAGCGTTGGTTAAGCAGCGTGAGGTGGGCAAACACACAGTTGAGGTGAGCGTGCAGCCCCAAGAGTGCTACCTCTCTGAAGTGGCAATGGTAAATGTGAGCCACCACGTGGTACAGTAGCCGCAGGATCTTACGCACTATCGATTCGAACGAGCTAGGAAATTCATTTGCTGGAACATCACGGAAACCGATCAATTAATGCGATTATAGCTTCCGACCGGCGTGCAACGTTCGGTTCCAAGCACGCGAGGCATCGATGTTTGCCAAGTTTCTCTGTAACTCAAACGTTCTACATGCCCGTCATGTCTGACTGTTTTGGGATTGTAAATACAACTCTAATTAACAAGGCTTGTATCAAATTAAACTGATTACTTTTTGCAGTTCTATGTCGGGGATCACATTTTATTCGACGTTACTTTGAAAAACCGACGGACAGGTTTCGTTGGGATTTTTATTATCAGATGTTGCATTTTAAATAGCAAGAAACGTAGCAACTGCTATAAAAACTGAAAACTGTTCCAGGGACAATGGAAAGCTAAGGAAAAGTTTATAGAGCACGCTTATCGCTTTCTGATCAGTGTGATTGTAGAGTATGTTTATATTCTTGGACGAGAAATTATCAAGACGCGTAACGGACTGTGAATGAGTTAAGTATAGTTTTAAAACTATACTTAAAGTGGGGGAAGCACAAGGAACCACTCCACGCAATTCAATTGGTCAAAACTTTAACTCTGTTTCGTGGAAAAACGATTTGTTCGCGACACATGGTTCCTGTCGAACTTTTTAAATATTTTTGTTTGTTCCGATTCAGATGAACTGACCGAACATAACACTGCAAAAGGTTGAATACATCATTTTTACCGGTCCACTTACCATATTTCGTAGGAAATATAGTTTCATCACTAACGGTGCGTTGTGTAAAAGTCATAACATAATCTATATATTGTGGCGCTGCCACTCTCGTTTTCTTCCCCTTCTCGTCGAACCACAGATACGTTCTGAAACGATAAGAAAGCGAGTTACTCGTCTGTGTAATGTCGGTCAAAGGAAACAACAGAGAAAGTGGGGATGAACAAAATAAACTTTGATCGCTTTCTCTCGTTCTTCCTTGTTTTTGCAACCTGGTATGAATGTATTTACCATCGAAATACATTTAAAAAAAAACCCCCCAAAAGACAATGCAAAATTTGGTTTTGTTGTGTTAAAAATGAAAAAGTCAAGGAGTCGTATGGCTCCCGTTGAGGAATCCTGGTATAAATATCTACGAATCCTGACATCCTCCATTTTCTTTATCAAGGGAGTTTCTAATAATCCGTAGGCCCGGGCCTTCCTTGGTTTTGCAACCTGGTATGAATGTATTTACCATCGAAATACAATTAAAAAAAAAAAACCAAAACAACAGTATAAAATTCGGTTTTGTTGTGTTAAAAATGAAAAAGTCAAGGAGTCGTATGGCTCCCGTTGAGGAATCATGGTATAAATATCTACGAATCCTGACATCCTCCATTTTCTTTATCAAGGGAGTTTCTAATAATCCGTAGGCCCGGGCTTCGAAAATCATAATACGGCCCTGCACAAAAACGTTGCTCTAGCGCGTACCTTAAACCAGGACCGGTCATGTCGGGACAGCCTGTCATGGTGCAGAACTCGGATATCGTCCCGTACACGAGATTGATGTGATTGAATAGTGCGAGAGTGTGGGAGGCCAACCACTCGTTATAATCCAAGCCTGGCGGTAGATCGACCAACATCCTCAGGTCCAGCTCGGGCAGTTGCCTTTCGAGGGTCGCCTCCTCGAGGTACAGTTTCGGATCCTCTGTGGTTCCCGCATCCTTCTCCTTTCGTCGGGCTTTTCTACGAACAGCGGGGGAAACGCTCGTTTAATCGTGGTTGTCTTGCGATTAGACGTGTTCTACCGGTGGTCAAGCGATTAAGCGAATTGTTGCTGAGCGGGGGAATGCCGTGTGACGCGACAACGGAGATACATCGATGCTGAGCGTGTCTGTCGAATAGCGGCGATCGAATGAACTGAGTCGTATTAGTTTTGTATAAGACTGGGACTATCGAACCTAAAAGAATTGTTGTTTAACGATTAACGTTATTCGTTATTCATTATCCGAGCCTAATCGAATCAATAATGATAACAAATGAATAGCGAATGAAATTTTGTTATTATGTAACTATATTTAGTTGATAACCACTGACCCAATAAAAGAGTACAGTTTATTTTGTCGATACTTGTAAAGCAACCTTAAACCACGATACAGTCAGCAGATAGCGCTCTTAACGACAAGAGGGTTCGTCGTCGCGCTAACAAATAACATAACCAATAAATTGTCTAGGGTTTTTTCGATAATTGCAAAATTATCCTGAATCAAGATGGCGGCGAGAACGTCGAACCTAAAGCACGTTTTTAACGTTAACGGAAAGCACGTCGATGAGTTTGGTATAATCAAGCCTGAAAGGGATCATCGAGACCGAAGAACTAGTTCAAAGTAACCGAGAGTACGCGACTTTTCTACGAAACGTTGCGTCGCGCCGTCCGCGGTATTTCTCCCTTCCGACTGACTTCCATTTACGGCCGAGCAAAGGCTGCGCGCAACGAAAAGTGCCCAAGGGACGTCCCCGTGCTTCGCGATAAAAATTTTCCAACTGGAAGCCCGGCCGGCAGCTAGACGGGCAAAAGAAAGCCGGCGCGCCTCGGTGAAAACGCATTTCGCGAGCCTCTCGACCGAAGGAGAAATAAAAAGAGTCGGGAGGGAAGTGTGCGCGGTTGGAGCTGCAAATTCGACGTCTAGTTACAAACGATGCCTTTAATCTGTGTTTCCAGCGCGTGTTATCAGCGACTAGGATCAAGAAATTGGACGCATCTAGAGCGCGAGATCCATTTCCAACCGTGATGGAAGAGGAAACCGATGATCGTTCGAGAAGATAACGCGAGAATCTGGTCGTACCGGGCGAAGAATACGTTTTCCACAGTGCGATAAATTTAATAAGGTTCCCGATGTAGTGGCTCGACTACGCGGCAGCGGATCGAAGCTTTTCAACCCCATCCTCCCAAAATTACGGAATTTTAATAAAATATATTTAGGAACATTAAAGTAATGTATACGAAGCACAACGAGTGCAGAGATTACGCAAACGATTAAAAATATAAATAGATTGTGCCGTTAACAACAAGGTACAATCAGTCTGGTAATTTGCAAAACGACGCGCTGATTTCAATAACGACTCGAGTGGTAATGATACAGATTTCAAGCAGGGAAGCACAACTGTGACTGGATGAAATTTAATCTGCGCCTGAATACGATACGAGCACAATTCGTACTAATTTCGCTCGCAATTGCGAACGGTACGACCATGGACGACACAGATTTTACCTACAACTGGAAAATTCCATAAACGAGACGACAAATTTTAACGACTGCGACATAACCACAGATGTTACTAATTTTCTTTGTAACTTTAAACGGCGCGAAACACGCTTTCCGCATCTGCGACTAACAACGTCGCGGCTTCGAACGATACGGAACGACTGCAGCGCCATTTTACTTGCGATCGAAAACATCGTTGACCTTAATCTCGTTGCAACTGAAATTCCTCTTGAAGAAGATTTAAAATAACAAAGTACTAAGAGGTTATTCCAACCGTTTGGTTAAAACTCGTTAATAATTAAATAGTAACATTTTATTCCTAGCATTATAATGCTCGCCGAATATCCGAGTAGTATAGTTATTTTATTAAACAACGAAAGGGTCGCTAATTACCGTCTGATAGCGCGAACGTCCGAGGCGAAACAGGCAGTTTCCGAGGCTGGCAGAAATTACTTCAACGTAAGTAAGCGTTGTGTTTGCATGAAATACGAGCTATCTCCATCCGGCGACTCACGAGATATCGTGCACGATTGCAGTCTACCGCAGAACGTTAATGCACAAACATCTTCCTAGTGTGGATCTCTCTGTGGCTCAGGGTTATTCTGGCCTGTCTCGATAACGAGAGCCGAGCGGCCAGGATTCTCGTTGCTTCGAAGGTCACGTTTTGTTTATATTTGTCGAGCAGCGGCCACGACGCTCGTGAAAGTTTTTGATTGAACCGGGCAGAGTCACGTATTCGGCTAATTACCAGGGAGACAACACCCAGGAAAGTTCGAACGTCAACCGGTAAAATCAATTGAAACGAAAAAAAAAAGTTCTCGAACCGCTGCTGCACTGATTGTATGTCGTTTCGTGGAGTGGCTCCTCGGCTCGAGACGCGGGAACATAACCTCGAATATTGCGTACAGGCTGGATCGTATTGTCCTTTCTATTATAACATTTAGGTGGGCGACGTGCGACGGAATGTTTATAAATTAACGGTGGGTGTTGTTGATGTCATAATACGTATTCCAGTTAGTCGAAGACGTGGGACTTCACCGTTTATGGTTTCGTAAATTGAACATGGACGCGTAAGTACGTTCTGTTGTAAGCTAGGAAAATCGATGATGTGTGTACTATATTTAATACTGCGTTTTTTGTCAATTAAATTTAGCAATGGATAACGTAGTACTACTGGGAAACATCGTATGAACCTCGCGCGCTGTATCTTTGATTACAAGGAAACGTAACGCACGATTCGCTTGAAATTACATTCCATTGATTCCGGTGTAATTGACGACTAATTATCGACGAGACGTTATTCGTCACGGAACGTTTCAAGCCATCTGTCGATTTCTTATCTGCGCATATAAATAAATCTGCAAGAGTGGCTATTTTTGTAACTTTATTGCCCATCAAATTTTCGGCATTTCTAGGTTAGCTTAACGAGAACAAAACCAAATGTATTCTTATAATGTGCATTTAAAAAAATCCCCTATTTTAATATTTTAGTATCTCAAGCTGAACGTCTCTTCAGACAACACCTTCAGAGTTTTAAGAGAAGAATAGTAGGTTTTCATTATCGGGCATTTTGAAAGCGTAATTATATTTTGAGCGTTTATTGTGTCCCTAAGAAAGGTGAAGGGAAGTTTCGCCCCAAACTATTCCACTGGTCTCGGCAATCTCTTTTGATTTCTATAACCCCGATTCTGAATGAATTATTACGCCGACGCTGAGAGTTTTACTTTGCTTAATGCATTCGATGCATTGTCTCATTTTATGGCTTGTACCTGTGGATCTACCGCTATTGAAATATTATTTTAAATTAATGCAACTTATACCGTTCTTCTCCAACTTTCCAATCGCCTGTAATTAATCTAAAGCGTGGCTTATTGCATTTTCCTGCGGTTATTTTGGAAAACAACTGAAAAGAACGCGATATGAATCGCGTTTAATAATAAAAGTGTTTTTGAAATTTTCCTTATAGGTCGAACGGCGAACATTTTTGTTTCCTTATCGAGGTACAGTCGCGTCGGTAGTATATTACGGCTCGCCGATGGAAAACAAATTACAGGACAGTGTGGAACTCGAAAAAGCAATTTCATTCCGGGACGAAGGACAATATTACGGTGTCCTAAATGCACTTCACATTAGAGGCCGCTCCGCGCCTCGATTTTCCGTGGCATTTCCTCTTCCTCCACGAGTTTTGGAACACGTTCAAGCTCATTAGCCTGGTATCGTTAATACCACCAGCAATATGTTGCTAGAATGTTACCGCATTCGCGTCGATTCTCCCCTTCGTCTGTCCACTAGGCGCGACGAGGGAATAAAATTTAGAAGCACCGACAAGAGGATCGATTTCACGGAAACGTCGTGCGAAAGCGTCGACCGTTCAGCTTTTATCGGCTACGTTCCATACGAACAAAATAAACGAAATATAAGAATTGCGTATTGTTTGATTTTACCGTGCAAACGCGATAGAATTTAATTCCCTATCGTCACGACGAGGTTAAGTAAATAGTTGCAATCGTTAAAAAGAACACTCGCGGCTCGCGAGGGGACGAAACTTTTAATAGAGAGCTGGAATACGACCCGTACGATTTTCAGGTAATCGCGAGGCTCTGGTAAGGTTGTTCCGAAATGTTTTGGCGCACTTGAGGAGAAGAGGCGCCACAGAAGTGCATCGCCTCCTTCGCCTGTCCGCTCGGGTGTCTTGTAATTAGCAAGTTTCCATCTGGCAGCCTCTGAAATTGTAGCGTTTCACGAAATGTATCACGTTCCCCGGTAAACGAAACTCGCTGTCTGTACAGACCTAATTTAGCTTACGCGAAATTAAACTCAAATTTAACCGAGCATAATTGGCACCGAGTCATAATAAACCGAATTTCGACCCTTGGTCAAATATCATTGCCGACTAACCTAAACTTGGACCTCGTCGAATTCGACAGAATCTAACCGAAAAATAATTTAAAATCTAATTCGACACGTTGCAATATAACCTAAAGTCTAACTAAGACATAACCTAAAATCTGATTTGATCTGATTGAACGCGACTGCTGTTCAACCTAACCTAACTAATTGTCTTGTAGCGTACAATAAGGTTATATGCAATTTATTATCTTTACTTGTTATTAACCTAAACTTGGACCTGGTCGAACTCGACAGAATTTAACCGAAAAATAATTTAAAATCTAATTCGACACGTTGCAATATAACTTAAAGTCTAACTAAGACATAACCTAAAATCTGATTCGATCTGATTGAACGCGACTGCTGTTCCACCTACACTAACTAATTGTCTTGTAGCGTACAATACAATTATATGCAATTTATTATCTTTACTTGTTACTAACCTAAACTTGGACCTGATCGAACTCGACAGAATCTAACGGGAAAATAATTTCAAATCTAATTCAACACGATGCAATATAATCTAGTCTTATTAAGATAACCTAAAATCCGATGCGATCTCATTGAACGCGACTGATGTTCAACCTAACC